AACACACACACACACACACACACACACACACACACACACACACACACACACACACAGCGCACGTCAAAGCAAGAGACAATCAAATGGGAGGGTTTTGGTTTTTTTCCAGTCATTTGATAAGATGAAAGCACAGAGAGTGTGAACAGTGTGACCTCTGAACCCAAGGGTGCTACATTTTCTCTGCCGCAAGCTGACCAAATGCCTTTTTTTTTCTTTCAAAGCAGTTTCGAGAAAAGAGGGTTTTTTGTCAGTGTAACCATTTAAAATTAGAGTGATCCCGAAATTTGAATTTTAAATTTATGAAGATACTCTTCAATTTTTTTTACACAAGTCAGGACACTGGTCAGACTTTTGATTTAACAAATAAAACATTTTGGTGCCAAATGAAACAAAAAAGGAGTTTTTGTCACCTTATGGACGTACGGACTCCATCACTTCTATCTAGCTTATTCAGCAAACCAGCACCGCACTCATACTCAAATGACTTAATCTAATTGCGAATGCCGTAAAATTTTTACCAAAACAGCAGTCATTTGGTTTTCATTAACAATTCTTTTTTTTTTTCCCCGTTATCGAAAAGGATGTGAACATTTGTACATTAAGTCCTTATCGTCAATGTTATGGCACAATCACTCTAGACTTTTTTTTTTCTGCTTTGAGCAAACTTTAAAAAAAACCAGTATCACTGGTTGGTTGGCGGGTGCTCTAGAGTAGAGTGGTTGCTCTTTCTTTCCTATCAAATACCTATCGTCTTTTATCTCTCCTTCTTTTTTGTGTTTGACACTCACTTGTAACAACACCTCTAATCTTATATTATCTAATCAAGTGCAGTAAAACTCTTACCAATGACTTGAGCAAAAGACAAAATGACTCAATAATTAAACTTTAGTCCCCGAAACGAACCTCTGTTACATTAAGAACATGAAACCGGAATGGGCAATAGCTATTTTTACCAACCAATAACTAGCAGTCTGAAAAAAAAAAAATGACTGCAGCAATAGCGTTAAAAATAAAACGATAAATACATTACACATCACTGATCCCCATTAGGAATTTCGTCCAACCTCACTTTTCACCGTGATGTTTCCGCTGTGAAATTATGAAAAATCACGGGATCAGCGATTTTCCCTTGGAAACAAAGGCCCACCGTGTTGTTGTAACCAAATATGGCTTGAATATATCACTGAGTGACGATACAGCGGCACTTGCAAGTTTCCATCTAAATGGTGCGACGAAGCAGCACAGAATCTGTGGCAGCCAGCAAAATAGAGGTGGGGGTGAATGTGGGGAGTTGTGCGTGAGTGTGTGTGTGTGTGTGTGTGTGTGTGTGTGTGTGTGTGTGTGTGTGTGTGTGTGTGTGTTTAGAAGCTCTCTATTCTATCAAGTGAGCAAAACCAAACTGTAGTACCGAAAGTGAAAGTATCTTTCTCGACTAGAACATAACGAGCAGATACAACCAACTGGCATACTAAGAAGAATTTTACTTCGTCACAATTTCCAACAAAATAAAGTCAGCAAAGTTT